ATGGTGGGCTTTCTAATACAAAAGAGTTATTGAAAAGTAAAGAGAAGAAGAAAGATGAAGAAAGAGAATTGTAGAAGCAGCAGGAGTTGTTGTGTGCGGCGTCGGGAAGAAGAGATGATAATCCTCTTGCTTTGACAGTCGCCCCCTTTATAGGAAAGGGAGCTAGGGTTTTCTTTTTTTGTTCCAATATGCAAATTTCCTTTGATTTTTGGCACAACCTTAGCTTTCTAGATTGATCTCCATGATTTTTTGTCCACAAATCTGGGGCTTGAACGGGATTTGTTTTTAAATTTTAAGCGCGCGCCTTTTTCTTTTTGAATTGACTACTGTGCACGGTTCTTGGCATTGCCCGAGGCTAAACTGTCTGGGGCAAGACCCAAGCCTTGCCGAGGCTTGCTTTTGTGCTAATGATTCACTTTACAAATTCTTCTTCTCATCATGCTGTTTTTCTCTGTTTTTGCCCTTATGTCCCACATTGCAACAAAACACAGAAAATAGTTTGGATTAGGTGACATACCATCAAGTTCAACAACCCAAAAGTGGGTAATAAAGTTGTTTTCAGGCTTTATCAGCTATTAGCAACTTAGGTAATTTGGATGGGTGAACCCACTCACAATGACCACAATCAGTTCTTTTCTTTTCTCAAACTCAGCACCTGTGTCTCTCCACCACCATTCTCTTACCTGGTCTTCTTGCCAGTGTATTAAATGTCTTTATTAGCAATTTCGATGAATGTTGCAAAGAAGCTTGAAGCAATTCAATGCAGATTTGTACGGGGTGACTTGGAGGAACATAAGAGATACCACTTGGTGGCATGGGATGTTCTCAAAAGACCTTGCATCAAGGAGGATTGGGGCTGAGATTGATCATTAAAATGAATCAGACACTCTAGGCTAAATGGGCTTGGGGGTTTTTGAATGAGAATGAGACTTTGTGGCATAGAGTAAGTGAAGCAAAAGTTTGGCAAAGGGGAAATAGATTGTTATCCGAGAAGTTTGTCAAGACTGCGTAGGATTGGTGTGTGGAAGAAGATAAGCATGGGAAGGACTATTTTTCATAAGTGCATCAGATGGAGGGTGGACAATAGGGAGAAAATTAGATTTTGGATGGATCCATGGGTTGGTGAGTAAGCACTTAAAGAGAGATTTTCATGGATTTATGCGACCACAAGGCATAAAAACACATTGGTAAAGGAGATGTATAGAGTGATCGGGAATGGGAGGGAGTGGCATGTGGAGGTTTTAAGGAATTTGAATGATTGGAAAGTATGTGAGTATGAGTCTCTTTTGGTTGTTTTGTCTTTGGTGGTTTTGGTGAAGAGTGAGGATCAACCTATTTGGACGCTCAACTTGAGTAAGTCATCTTCAATGGGGTCTTTTCATAAACATTTGACTAAGAATGATGTTATGGATGTTAAATTCCCATCACGACAAATACGGAAAGTGAATTCCCTTTGGAATTACTCTCTTTGCTTAGGTTGTAGCGCCCGGACCGAGAAGAAAAAAAAAAAAAAAAAGAAGCCACGTCGGCAGCCCGGTCAGCAGGCCCGGCCAACCGGGGCCTGCCACGTGGCAAGACCACGTCGCTCCGGAACGGGCCACGTTGGCGATCCGCGTGGGCGCGATCGGACGGCCCAGATACAATCGCACGGACGGCCCAGATTCAATAAAAAACGAACGGCCCAGATTAAAACAAAATGGACGGCTGAGATCAGAAGGCAAGGGGTTATAAATAGAACCCCCACACCAGACCACAAACCCTAGCCGCCTGCCGCTCGCCGGAGAAGACGAACCAGAGGCCGACCGCCGCCACCCGCCGCCGCACCGGGGAAATTTCCGACCGCCGATCGAGGTAAATTTCATACCCCCGACTCGTTTTTCCACGCTGATTCCTCCTGTGGCCAAATCGAATCCAAAATCCCGGCCAAACGGCCGGAATACGCGGCCGAAGACCAGCGGCGCCGCCGCGCCCCCTCTTGGTTTTTGCCTCCGACGAGGCCCTTCCCGGCCTCCGTTTGATGCAATTTTTATATCACCGTGATCACCATTCTTTTCTCTACAGGTTGACCGGAGCCGAATCACCAAACCACGAACCTCGCCGGAGAGCCGCCGCACCCGAGAGCGCCGCCGCCGGTAAGCTCCGCTTTTCCGTGATTTTTTGGCCCCCCGAGGGCCCTAGGGTTGTTTTCTCGCAGGGACCGATGCGAGTGTGGCCGAATTCGGCTGAAAACAGCCAACCCGAGGCGAATCGCCGCCGCAAGCGGCGGCGCCGTCGCCGGAGCACGGCGGAGCTGCCGTGCCGGAGTTGCGGTATTGGCCAAAAAGGGGCCCTGAGCCTAATTTGAGATTTTTTGGAACACGTGCAGGTACCGTTAGTGTGTTTCAGTTCCCCGGGAAAAATTCAGGGAAAATT